TCGAGAAGTTTTTGAATGTGTTAAGAAAACTCCACATGAATATCCTGTTCGTAGACGCAATACGACAAATTTCAAGTTATGCGAAATTTTTGAAGGACGTGATATCAAAGAAGAAAAAGCTTCAAGAATTTGAAACTGTGGTACAGACAGAGGAGAGCAGTGCAAGATTACAAAAGAAAATGCCTTCCAAGCTCAAGGATCCAAGGAGTCTTCCCTTACCCGTTTCAATTGGAAAAGCTGGTACTTTTATGCTTTATGTGATACTGGTGTGAGTATTAATTTGATGCCACTTTCTATTTTCAGGAAACTAGATTTGAGAGAGGCTGAGCAACAACGGTGACTCCGCAACTGGCTGATAGATCCTTTACCCACCCCAGATGGATTACAGAAGATGTGCTGATTAAAGTGGAGAAATTCATGTTCCCATTGGATTTTCTTATTCTAGACATAGAAGAAGACATAAACATTCCAATAATCTTGGGGAGACCATTCTTAACAACAGTTCGAACTTTGATTGATATGGAAAAAGGTGAGCCAATCTTGAGGGTAGATGAGGAGCAATAAGTTTTTGCATTATATAATCCATCCAAACAACCATCAGCCCTCGACAAATGTCAGTGTATCAATGAAGACGAACTATCCATTCAACAATATTACTAGAAGAGGAAATCGAAATTTGGAGGATTGCTTGGTAGAGACAAGAACGAAAAATTCAAAGTTTGGAGAGCTAAAAGGGGATGCAAATCTGGAAATTGCAAGGAAATTAGGAGGACTTCTTGGTAGAGACGAAAACGGTGAATTCAAAGTTTGGAGGGCTAACAGAGGATGCAAAGCTGGAAATTGCAAGGCGTACAATGGGGAAATCCTTCGACTTGAACCACCATGAACTCACCGAAGTGAAGTCAGGCTATAGACAATAAACTAGCGCGGTTGGGAGGTAACCTAACAATTCTTCCCTTTTATTTATTTCGTTTTAGGAATTAGATTATGAATTTTTCGCATTTTTTATGATTTTTAATCATATTGAGTCATTCATCTTCTTTACAGGACGTAATGAGTCTATGCATGGTCCACACTTATGCTCCATCATTTTCACCTTCACGTTGATCAGGAAAGTATCTCTAACCCCATTTTCTCTATCTTTATGTGAACTTGTCCTTGATATTATTTGTCTTTAAGTTTACAGTGTTTTAGTATTTAAACATTGAATTTAGTTTGACTTTATTTACCTCGACACTAATTCGAACTTATCTTTAATCTTTATTTTAAGTATTTAATTTTATTTGTTGATCTAAGTGCTACTACTGCCATTCTTACAGGTCTTGCATGTGAAGGTCACTTGGAGGTGAACTGCTTTCAGATGATTTGGAAATTGAACGAGCTTTTCATCACATATCTTGAGGTCAGGCCAACTTCGAATGTTCACTATGGGTTGGGTTTAAATACGTAATTGGGTCGGGTTGGGTTAATTTTATACCAAACCGAACTTGATTGGGTTGGGTTTGGGTTGAGTAAAAACCCGACCAACCCAACCCACGCCCAACCCTATCTCTAACCCCATTTTCTCTATCTTTATGTGAACTTGTCCTTGATATTATTTGTCTTTAAGTTCACAGTGTTTTAGTATTTAAACATTGAATTTAGTTTGACTTTATTTACCTCGACACTAATTCAAACTTATCTTTAATCTTTATTTTAAGTATTTAATTTTATTTGTTGATCTAAGTGCTACTACTGTCATTCCTACAGGTCTTGCATGTGAAGGTCGCTTGGAGGTGAACTGCTTTCAGTTGATTTGGAAATTGAACGAACTTTTCATCACATATCTTGAGGTCGGTCCAGCTTCGAATGTTCCCTTCCAGCAATCTTGTATACTAGATTTCTGCCTTCCACTTAAGGTTAAGTGAAAGGTTGTACGCTTCATAGTTAGCGTGGCACCCTTCAGATTCATGTGAGTTTTGAAACTGTTGATGTGCTTCGCTGAGTCACCCCTCCCATCATACTTAAGGATTTTGGGGAGATTGGAGTGGTTCAGCATGGGAGCGTTTCTTATGACCTCTGAAAAGGGCGAATGATCATCATCGTCATCAAGGTCACAGGATCTCTAAAGCTCATCTGAATCTCCATCCTCCCCTAGTAAGCCTGGGAAGGTAGTTGAAAGGGCTCTGCTTCATTCCTAGCCTGGTTTCTTCTTTCGCACCTATTTCTTAGAGGGCGGACCTGAGGCTCTTCCGGATGATTTGGTGGCTGTCCATATTGTCGAGGTTCCTCTTGCCTATGTTTAGGCTCTAGAGGAGGATAGTTCTACCTATTTCTAGACATTTAGGGTGAGTGGTCCTGCCTATCTCGAGGTGTCCATGGACCTATCCTATCGAAGACACTAGTCGATCTCTGAGGCCTGTCTTCTGGCACATGGTTTGGAGGAAAGTTGAATGGAACTTCATGTGGCCTTTTCGAAGCATAGTTAGTCGATATATCCACCTCGAATTCCCTTTCCTGCAGAGCCTCCATCCTGTTACGATGGTGCCCAGCTATTTAGCTTTGGACTTCTTTCTCCTCTTGGTAATATCCTTGAGAAGCTGGGAATATGTCTTCGGGGGCTGCATATGGAAGGACATGGCGTCCTCCTCACTCCTGCATATTCATCAGCATCTCTTGCATGACCAAGTTCTGCTATGTTATGTTCCTCATATTGGCCGCCATTGTGGCTATCTCTCTAGCGAGCCTAGCTCCAACCCCTCCCCCACCTCTGGATTCTTCTCGTCTTCGTACTGAAGGTCGTGGGCGAGCAACTGAGGCGGTTTGTGAGGGTTCCCTTTCCTCAAGGTATTCACTCTTTCTTCTAGGTGCCTTTTCATCATTCGAACTAATCTTTCACAAAAATACTTAGTACGAGATTTCCCCTTCCTTCGAGGGTTTTGGGTTTTTAATAGTCCCTTTTTCAGGGATACTCATTTTTCAAGGGTTAGATCTTTTTTAGGCAGATTTCCAATTGATGCTAGCCTTTCCTCAACGTGTTCTCTTGGTTAACAGTATGGTTTCCTACAGATGGCTCCAATCTGTTGACCTCAAAAAATGAATCAACAGATGTCGGGCCCACTCATGACAAGTCAAGTACGATTTCGGCGCATTCCTGCCGAGTTGATGAGGAAGCGGACACGGGAGGTACTTTACGGCGAGAGACAAAACTGTTCGAACTCCGGCGAGTGGAACGAAGACGATCGCACTAACAATGATCGACAGATTGAAATCAAACTAATCTATGAGATCATAAACAGGAATATGTGGAAAGATAGATAAGATGTTAATATGTTTCTTTTTTAGAGTTCATGTGTATGACTCGAATATATGATTGCATCTCTTTTCTCTCTCAAAATGATCCAACCTCCCTTCTAATTACAAAGAGGTCCTATTTATAATGTAGTGACTGACGTGGTAATAGTTAGATCAGAATCACGTGGCCTCATCTCCCTAATTGGGGCATCATATCATTGTCTATTCGTACAATTAATACATTGATAAGGGGTCAGTCGCCCTATACAATAGGCTGACAACTGATAACTTTATTACAAGTGTCACATCATTCACTTGTAGTAGATCCTTAAGTCTATTACAAGAGACGACGTTGGCTTAATGGACTTAAGACGAGTTGGGGAGAGCCTCAGATGGATCTGAGCTTCGCCTTTGAAGAAGTGCCTCAGAATGGGCTTTATCAGGCTGCGTGAGAGCTTCGGACATTATGTGAAGACCTAGGCCTATTTGTCTTATTGGTGTGTTTGACCTACGGATCTTCCTTTGACTTTTTTAGTTGACTATCCGTCCACGCGTCGTGCCACGTGGCCTCGTTTTACTGGACCTTGGAATCGAAGGGTAACAGTTATATTATTCAACATTATGAAAATATTCATATATGGATACATGGAATTCAAAGATTTTATTTAACATGTTGGATGTTCTTAATTAGACCTACTAGATAAATATTAAAGCACAATTATGAATCATAATAAATAGATTTTCTGAATCCTGAAAATAATGTCTGATACAAAGTGCAATTAAATCGTAATTAATGCTAATTAACATATCGAACAAGAATAAATGAAGATTTATAGTATCTATATGTGGATTTCATATACTAGATTGTTTGAATAAATGTATTTATGTTATAAATGAATAGTTCATTTACTTCTTGAAATAAAAAATTAAGGGAAAATTGCAAATTTAGTCCCAAACTTTTGGCCAAAGTAGTGACGCAATCCTTAATATTTTTTGTCTAATTTTTGTCCCCAGTCTTCGAAAAAAATATCTTATTAAGGACTTATTAAGGGGAAAAGTGTTCCAGCCTCAAAGAGACAAAAAGAAAAGGCTACATTTACAATTAAACAGTAAAACAGAAGGAGAAGAAAAAGAAAATAAATAAATAATCAAGGCTAAAAACTTAAATGAGAGAGAGAGAGAGAGAGAGAGAGAGACCCTCCTCTCCCACTACCTTGTGAGCGGGAGGTTTTTCCCAAAATATTAGTCGAGAGGGAGGGGATTGGGTTGGTGGGGGTAGCATTGGGTTTATATTTTTTCACTTTTTAAACATTTATTTAACAAAATAATTTTAATTTTTTAAATTGTTTTTATAGAAAAAGAGGGAGGCAAATAATGAGTAGACTATTTTGACCTTATATACGAAAGAAAGACTAGGTACAAGATCACTAATTTTGGCCAAAGTTTAGAGACTAATGTGTAATTTAGCATAATTTAAACGATATTAATGAATATAACCACTTACCTAAATGTCAAAGCGACTTACCACGTAAACAATTGTGCAATATTTATTAGTCTTCAACATGAAACCACTATATATAGTGCGTCTTTCATTGTCAAAATCATTGTGCAATTTGAACAGATTAGGGATTTTTGAGTCACTCATCCTTCGGGATCGTAACCCTTAATCCCATTATTTGTTTCAATCACATTGTATCCATCTAGTGATAAAGAACTTGCTTTTAGAAATGGCAACAACGGATGAAATTGAAGAAATTCTGAAAAGGTTTGGGAATGAAGAAAGCACGTTGTTAGATCAGTACGAGATGATGTCTTTCAAGGTGCAGCTAAAGCAAGCCATGCTAGGTAGGAGCTTGTCGGAGCCACGCTACCAAGGACAATCAAATTTGATGTCAAAGTCAGTTCAACAAAAGCGACGTTGGGGTTGGAGCCGAGTTTGGGGTATTCATAAGGTGCTAAACAAGTTTCTGAAGCCTGATAAGAGAGCAACACAAGATTTCCTAGATTCAAGAGGGAAATATTTTGTCGTAAATCGATCTAAAATTTAGGGTGTGAATACTTGATTTTGATCATTATTCACTTTCATTAAATAAACATTTACTATCGCAAATTAATGGATTTAATACTATATTAGACTAGATGCATTTGTTATGTCAAATGTAAGAATCGAATAGAAATTTATCTCATGGGTCTCTATTTCAATCATATATAATGATGGACAACTTTGCATACCAGCGTGATGCTATTGAAAATTAAACCAAGACATCTTAATCAAGCATGTTGTAGGTTTAAGTTGGCCAACCAATTTTGCAGGCTGAGCCAATTTTTTCAATTTCATTCTTGTGGAAATTACACTGAGGCAGATTTTTAAAGATTGTATTTCAAAAATCAAATTTAAAGTCTACTTATTTCATAAACCAGGTGATAATTCAATTATTGATAATAATAATAATATTATTATAAAATTAATTAATTTACCAAATCTCACCCCACCCTAAATCCATTTTTATTTTATTCTCCCCCTTTTTCTATTTTTCCCATTCTCACTCTACTCTCTCTCTCTAACATCTTTTCTTTTTCTTTCTTCACTGGAACGGTGCCTCTATGAGGGTTGGAGCTGTGGCGATCTGTGCTCCGATGACTTATCTCTCTAAAATCTTTTCTTTTATTTCTTCATTGGAGTGGTCCCTCTGCGACGACTGGAGTAGCGACGCTTAGATCTTCGTTGCTCCGCCGATAGCAGTGCTCTATCTCTCCATCATCTTTTCTTTTCTTTCTTCATCGGAGTTACATGATTGTGAGAACTAGAGTAGCGGGCTCAAATCGTCTCTACTCCGACTATAGTGGCTCTCAAAGCATCACTAATCTGAGCCGCATGCTTTGAGCTCCTCTGATCTTAGCAGCGATGCTCAGTTCGCTACTACGCAGTGGTAAAATTGAGCGCCCTGTGTGCAGTGATAGGTTCGTCGCGTGTGTTCTAAACACTGCTACAGTGGCGAACCTGCAGCGATTTGTGTTGTTTTTGCGGTGGTTTGTGGTGATTTTTGTGGAGGTTGTATCATCGATGTTTTGTGATGGCTTTGCATTGATGGTATGTGGAGGTGATTTTGTGCGGTCTGGTCATGGTAGTCATGGGTGGGGATGGAATGTTGGTGTTTGTGACCAAATATTTGAATTTTTGTGACCAACTATATATGTGGTTGTGACCAATTATTTAGATTATTATGACCAACTATTTGTGTTAGGTGGTGGGATTGGGATGGAAGTGAGATGAAGAGTGTCTGTTGCCAACTATTTATTTTTATAACCAAGTATTAATATCGGTGGTTGAATCGGGAGTGGGGGTGGGATGTTTGGTGTCTATGATCAACTATTTGGTTAATTTGTGATCAATTATTTAATCTGACCTAAAAAGTTCGATAATTTGTTATTGAGAAGTAACTTATGACTAACTAATTTGATAATTTGTGATTATTGAATAAATTGTGACTGATAAATTTTTTGATTTGTAATTAAAAAATAATTTGTGACCAATTAATTCAATAATATGTGATCAATAAATAAGTTGTGACATAAAACTATGTAACTATGATCATTAATCCTATAATTGTAGCCTAAATATAATTAAATACTAAAATATTTTTAATTATTTATTTATAACTTGATTTTTGAATTTTGAAACATAAACTTGGAAATTGAATTAGTCATAGTTAATAGTTGAGTTGTGAATTTTTCCCTTCATTGTTGTTTTTTTTTTTTTTTTTTTGAGAAATTAATGCATTTTATATTAACCCATAATTGAAATGAGAATTGAATATTATGGGATAATATGGGAGCGCGTGACAAATACAAGAGAAAAATGGGGACGGCAAAATACCATGCCACTTCGTTAGATAATCTTGTTGGGTTTTTTGATACCCAAATAAATTCGGGCTATGATATTAAATCGTTTTGTTGGAATTATATTTCATAGGCTTCGACCGATGAGTGAAGTGAATATCAACACCACGATTGTTCGGACCGAACCCACAACCTTTTTTGGGCCATTGGAAGCAGTCTAATAAGTTAGAGTTGCTCATGGCCCAACCAGGGCGGACCGAGCACCTGGCGAGTCGGGGCGGCCGCCCGTGCTAGATCCGTCGGAAAAAAATGACTTATAAAGCTTTGATGAATATTGTTAGATATTTGTAAATGTAATTATTTGTTTAAATAGATTGCGTAGCTTAAATGGTATGGTATTAGTTTTACATGCAAGAGGTACAAGGTTCGATTCCAAGAACTTTTCCTCTTTCTTTTCATTTCCAAATTGCTCAAAGCAAAATTATATATCATATTTGCAATAGTCAAGATTTGAAC